CCTCCTGAGCTCAAGCGATTCTCCTGCCTCAGTCTCCTGAGTAGCTGGGATTACAGTCATACATCACTATACACAGCTAATTTTTTTTTTTTTTTTTTTTTGTATTTTTTAGTTGACATGGGATTTCTTCCACCACGCTGGCCAGGCTGGTCTCAAACTCCCGACCTCACATGATCTGCCCGTCTCCTAAAGTGCGGGGATTACAGGTGTGAGCATTTTGGGTGCACGGCCGGATAAATGCTGATTATAATAAATAATAAATACTGATTACGCCAGGCTCCATGCTGGATGCTGGGACTACATTGATGGACCATAGTCCATTGTTATCCCTGCAGAGGCCCCTGCTGGGTAGTGCAGAGCTGGGCAGGACTGGGCAGGACTGGACAGGACAGGATGGCAGAAGGGGAGTTTGTTGCAGGGAGATAAGGCCAGTGGGTTATTCACCGGAGCAATGGTTAGGTTCCTAGCCAATCAGCACATTCCATCCCTCTGGCCCCCAGGGATTGGTTCTGGATGGACATATGACCAAATTTAGGCCAATGAGATTTAAGTTTGAGGCTTTCTGCTAAAGTCAGGGAAGAACGCATGTTGGTTCTGGGAATATCTTAGCACCACATGCAGAAGCCTGCAGGTAGAGTTCAGAGTTCACGAAAGAATTCATCTAAAAGATATCACTGAAGCCCCTGGATCCAGCTGTGCCTGAAGGATACAGGTTTTCTGTTCATGAATCAATAAATCCCCTTGTTTGTATTAGCTAGTTCAGTTTGGGTTCTCCTTCCTTTGCAATGGAAAGAGGCTTGCCAGGAACTCAAACATCTTGGTTCTTATTGCCGCTTCCCTGGGGGCTAGGACTGGTACAGTAGTCCTGTCTCCCTAGAGTTACCCCATGACTCTGCTAACGAGACTGAGGAACCTCCACCCAACGTCCAAGCTAATGGCCATCCATCCCATGGGGAGTACTTGAGATAGGACCTGTTGTTCTCTTCTGGCCAACACTAAGACCTGTCTCCTGTCTCTCACCCAGTGGGATTCTCAGAAGTCACAGAGCCTAGGAAACATGAACAAATAACCACACCTCTGGGCCCGTGTTTCCTAACTTTTTTTTTTTTTTTTGAGATGGAGTCACACACTGTTGCCCAGGCTGGAGTGCAGTGATGCAATCTCGGCTCACTGCAACTTTTTTTTTTTTTTTTTTTTGAGATGGAGTCTCACACTGTTGCCCAGGCTGGAGTGCAGTGATGCAATCTCGGCTCACTGCAACCTCCACCTCCCAGGTTCAAGAGATTCTCCTGCCTCAGCCTCCCAAGTAGCTGGGATTACAGGTGCCTGCTGCCACGCCTGGCTAGTTTTTTTGTATTTTTAGTAGAGATGGGGTTTTACCTTGTTGGCCAGGATGGTCTTGAACTCCTGACCTTAGGTGATCTGCCCACCTCAGCCTCCCAAAATGCTGGGATTACAGGCATGAGCCACGGCGCCCAGCCACTGTTTCTTGATCACTTCCTCCCTCCCCTGTATCACTGCCTGCCTTCTCTGGGATAAATGCACTCAATCCTTGTCTCAAGCTCTACTTCTGGGAGACTCCAACTCAGGGCCTTGGCCACTCCCAAGCTGAGCAGACACTAAACTTTTTTTTTTTTTTTTTTTTTTGAGACGGAGTCTCACTGTCGCCCAGGCTGGAGTGCAGTGGTGTGATCTTGGCTCACTGTAACCTCCAGCTCTTAGGTTCAAGTGATTCTCCGGCATTAGCCTCCTGAGTAGCTGGGATTACAGGCACGCACCACCATGCCCAGGAAATTTTTGTATTTTTAGTAGAGACGGGGTTTCACCATATTGGCCAGGCTGGTTTCGAACTCCTGACCTCAGGTGATCCACCCGCCTTGATCTCCCAAAGTGCTGAGATTACAGTTGTGAGCCACTGTGCCCGGCCAACACTATACTTTTATTTTTTCTATTTTTATTTATTTTATTTTATTTTATTCTTGAGACAGAGTCTTGCTCTGTCGCCCAGGCTGGAGTGCAGTGGAGCAATCTCCGCTCACTGCAAGCTCTGCCTCCTGGGTTCACACCATTCTCCTGCCTCAGCCTCCCGAGTAGCTGGGACTACAGGTGCCCGCCACCATGCCCGGCTAATTGTTTGTATTTTTTTTAGTAGAGATGGGGTTTCACTGTGGTCTTGATCTCCTGACCTCGTGGTCTGCCTGCCTCAGCCTCCCAAAGTGCTGGAATTACAGGCACGAGCCACCGCACCCGGCTACTAACTTTTATTTTTATTTATTTATTCATTTTTGAGACAGGGTCTCACTCTGTCATCCAGGCTGGTGTGCAGTAGCGTGAACATGGCTCACTGCAGTTTCGACCTCCTGGGCTCATGTGATCCTCCCACCTCAGCCTCCCTGGTAGCTGGGACTACAGGCAAGCACCACCATACCCTGCTATGTTTTGTTTTGTTTGAGACAGAGTCTCACACTGTAGCCCAGGCTGGAGTGCAGTAGCATGATCTCTGCTCACTGCAACCTCCGCCTCCCGGATTCAAGCCATTTTCCTGCCTCAGCCTCCAGAGTAGCTGGGATTACAGGCACATGCCACCACGCCAAGCTAATTTTTGTATTTTTAGTAGAGATGGGGTTTCACCACGTTGGCCAGGCTGGTCTTGAACTCCTGACCTCAGCTGATCCGCCCGCCTCGGCCTCCCAAAGTGCTGGGATTACAGGTGTGAGCCACTGTGCCTGGCCCCCGCTAAGTTTTAAAAAAAAGTTTAGAGACGGGGTCTCACCATTACTGCCCAGGCTGGTCTCGAACTCCTGGGCTTGAGCCATCCTCCTTTCTCAGCTTCCAAAAGTGTTGAGATTATACAGGCGTGAGCCACCACACCCAGCCACCATTCTTAAAATGTTCTACCCACTCCCTCGTTTTGCTTCAAGACAGTTCTTTGAGGGAGGGGGTTTGTCATTCACCCCCCCCCACGTTTTTTTTTCTTTATTTAAAAACAGGGTTTTACTCTGTTGCCCAGACTGGCGTACAGTGGCACATAGCTTATTATAACCTCAAACTTGAGCCCAGGGGCTCAAGTGATCCTCCTGCCTTCGCCTCCTGAGTAGCTGGGACTATGGGTGTGCACCACCATACCAGGCTATTGTTGTTGTTGTTATTATTATTATTGAGACAGAGTCTCGCTCTGTTGCCCAGGCTGGAGTGCAGTGACGTGATCTCCACCTCCCAGGTTCAAGCGATTCTTGTGCCTCAGTCTCTAGAGTAGGTAGGATTATAGGCACGTGCCATCATGCCCAGCTAATTTTTGTATTTTTAGTAGAGATGGGGTTTCACCATGTTGGCCTGGCTGCTCTGGAACTCCTGACCTCAGGTGATCTGCCTGCCTAAGCCTCCCAAAGTGCTGGGATTACAGGTGTGAGCCACGGAGCCCAGCCTAGACTAATTTTTTTTTTAATTTATTTTTATTTTTATTTTTTATTTTTTATTTTTTCGAGACGGAGTCTTGCTCTGTCGCCCAGGCTGGAGTGCAGTGGTCGGATCTCAGCTCACTGCAAGCTCCGCCTCCCGGATTTACGCCATTCTCCTGCCTCAGCCTCCTGAGTAGCTGGGACTACAGGCGCCCGCCACCTCGCCCACCTAGGTTTTTGTATTTTTTTTTAGTAGAGACGGGGTTTCACCTTGTTAGCCAGGATGGTCTCGATCTCCTGACCTCATGATCCGCCCATCTCGGCCTCCCAAAGTGCTGGAATTACAGGCTTGAGCCACCGCGCCCGGCCTAATTTATTTTTAGAGACAGGGTCTCACTATATTACCCATTCTGGTCTCAAATTCCTGGCCTCGAGAGATCCTCCTAGCCAGATGCAGTGGCTCACGCCTGTAATCCCAACACTTTGGGAGGCTGAGGTGGGCAAATCACCTGAGGTCAGGAGTTCGAGACCAGCCTGGCCAACTTGGCGAAACCCTGTCTGTACTAAAACTACAAAAATTAGCTGGGCATGGTGGCAGGCGCCTATAATCCCAGCTACTCAGGAGGCTGAGGTAGGAGGATCAGTTGATCCCCAGAGGTGGAGGTTACAGTGAGCCTAGATCACGCCACTGCATTCTAGCCTAGGCAACAGAATGACAGAGTGAGACTCTGTCTCAAAAAAAAAAAAAAAAAAGATCCTCCTGTCTCAGCTTCCCAAAGCACTGGGATTACAGATATAAACCACAACACCCAAGCTGTCAATCCCATTTTATGTGTGGGAAAGCTGAGGTCTGGGCAGGAGAAGGACCTGTCTGAAGCCGCCCTGTTGCTAAGTGGTGGGTCTGGGAGATTTGACCTTAGGTGGAGACCAGCTTGGCACCCCCAGCCACAGGTGCGAAAGCCATGGGTTATGCCAGGCACTGTTCTGAATGCACACTTCATATAATCCTTACAACACTGTGGGGAGTACGGGGTGGTAAGCCAACCATTGCCCCACTTGACAGAGAGGGAAACCAAGGCCCTGAGAGGTGGCACAGCCCAGGTTCAAACCCAGGCAGGCTGGCACCAAGCTCACACTCTTAACCACCAGGCTGATGCCTGGATATATGTAATTTCCTTCCAGGCGGCTGTGGCCATTTGTCGGGGGAGGAGGGGGCGGGTATCTGGAGCGAGATCAGCCAGCAGAGGGGATATGGGTGCCAGGCAGCAGACCTGGTCAGGAGCTCCCAGGCTGGCATCTGGGCTGCCAGGCTAACCTCAGGCCTCTCTAATCCCTCACTGCTGCCCGCCCCTGCTTCTCGGAACTCTCCTGTGCCCCAAAGCTCCCCCCATCCCTCCATCCCCGCCCCTACTCCTGCGGTCGTCCCAAATACCAGACAGGACGAATCTCAGCTTTTCCCCAAACATTCCTTGTTCTTGTGGCCCGGCCCAGGCTGGCTGAGGTTACGAAAGCAGAGATGGGGTGGTTGTTGGCGGGAGGGGGGACCAAGGGGATGGGCTGGCCTGTCCTCACCACCCATCCGGCCGCCTGCCCGTCCTCCCCAGGGCGGGGAAGGGGGTGGGCCAGCTCCCCCAAAGCCCCAGGAGAACAGGCTGTTGTGGGGGGTGGCCTGGGTCTGGAGATGGGGGGCAGTGGTGGCCACAGCAGAGACTCCAGGAGGTGACCGCCTGGTTTCCATTAGGGAGTCCTGGTCAGCAGCTTGGGCGAGACGGCAGAGTCAGGGCTGGCCATGGTAAGGTGGGGCACGGGAGGGTCTGAGGGTGGGGCCTGCCTGCCTCCCCACCCCCACTCTGCCAACTGGCCACTGCCTCCCCACTAAGACCCTCCCCGAGGAGGGGATGCTCCAGTCACCATGGCGACCCCGCGCCCAGCCCGGAGACACGCTGACCCTCCCTTCCCCGAAGTGGCTGAGCCTGCTGCTGCTCTTGCTGTTGCCGGGCCCCCTGCCCGTGGCTGGCATGGAGGATGCTGCCTTCCCTCACCTGGGGGAGAGCTCGCAGCCCCCGCCCCGGGCCTGCCCCCTGCGCTGCTCCTGCCCCCGAGTCGACACTGTGGACTGTGATGGCTTGGACCTTCGGGTGTTCCCGGACAACATCACCAGAGCCGCTCAGCACCTCTCCTTGCAGGTGGGGCCCAGGGAGGGGAGTGGGGGCACCCAGGGCTGAGACCTAGAGGTGAGGGGAGCTGGACGGGTGCCCTGGGGCTGAGGAGCGTGGTGGGGTGTAGGAACACACGTGCGGGAGGGCGGTGTGGAGCTGGCTGCGATGGAGCTTTGCCTGGGCAGATTGGCTCTGCATGCCCCAGGTGAGGGGGTGAGTGTGGACATGCTGGAAGTTGTTGGGGACTGAGGGTTAGTGGATGTGAGGGTCAACATCTTGGCGGTTATAGTGTTGTTTGGAGTCAGTGTGATGGGGAGTTTGGGGTTATGGGGATGTTGTGGCATTGGGGGTTGATGGTGGGGGTGTTGGGGCATGTGGGATCGATTGTGGAGTTTTGGGGTTATGGGGATGTTGTGGCATTGGGGGTTGATGGTGGGGGTGTTGGGGCAAGGATCACTGGTGTGGGTGATGGCACATTTGGGGTTGGTTGTGGGGTGATGGCGATTAGCGATTGTGGGGGTGGGATGGCACATTTGGGTCGGGTCGGGGTGATGGCACATTTGGGTTGATTGTGGGGTGATGGCACATTTGGGGGCGGTTGTGGGGGTGATGGCACATTTCGGGTCGATTGTGGGGTGGATGGTACATTTGGGGTCGGGTCGTGGGGGTGATGGTAATACGGGGCGGCCGGGGTGATGGCACATCAGGTCAGTCGTGGGGGTGATGGCACATTTCGGGTCGTGAATGTGGGGTGATGGCACATTTCGGGTCGATCGTGGGGGTGATGGCACATTTGGGGTCGATCGTGGGGGCGATGGCACTTTTGGGGTCGATTGTGGGGGTGTTGGGGGACCTGGGGTCGGTTGTGGGGTGACGGCGCATTTGGGGTCGGTTGTGCGGGTTTGGGGTTTGACATCTTGGCAGTTACAAGACCGGTCAGGATGATGGGGTGTTTAGGATCAACTGTGGGGGTGAAGATGGGATGAGGCTGGTTTGGGCTGATGGGAAGTTGAGAATCAGTGCCTGGGGTCACTTGGTCATGGGGTCACAGGTGTGAACACCCCAACTCTTGCCCTGCAGAACAACCAGCTCCAGGAACTCCCCTACAATGAGCTGTCCCGCCTCAGTGGCCTGCGAACCCTCAACCTCCACAACAACCTCATCTCCTCAGAAGGTGAGGGGCAGAGGGAGGCAGCCTCTCTGGGGCTGAAGGACTGACCGAGGTCTCAGCTGCCATCCCCTTCCCCCGCCCCGTCTGCGGGCAGCTCTGTCGCAGTTCCCAGAACTGCCCTTTGCTGAGCAGGATGGAAACTCAGGGGCTGGGGTGGGGGTTGGGGGCTGTGGCTTTTGAGTAGGGATGGGGAGGAGGGGATCTGAGGGCCTGGGGAGCCTCTGCCAGTTCCCAGCCCAGAGCCCTGAGGCAGCTGGAAGCCCAGACTCCCCCTCCACCCAAGACCAGGCCTTCACTGCCCCCCACTCTCCCAGGCCTTCCTGACGAGGCCTTCGAGTCCCTCACCCAGCTGCAGCACATCTACGTGGCTCACAACAAGGTGAGCCCCCAGCCCCACCCGCAGGCTGAGGCCAGAGAGGGTGCAGCTTCGGTCACACAGCCCAGGGTGTGGAGGGGACAGCTCTGCTGGGGAAGGGGTGGGGCCAGGGCGCACCAGGACCAGTGCGGCTGTGGGCTGTGTCCCCACAGCTCTCAGTGGCCCCTCAGTTTCTGCCCCGGTCCCTCCGCGTCGCGGATCTGGCTGCCAACCAAGTGACGGAGATCTTCCCCCTCACCTTTGGGGAGAAGCCGGCACTCAGGTAGGCCCTGGCCCAGCCCAGGCCCCCAGGCCTCAGATACGTCTGGGTCACGCCTGGTTCTAGGAGCAATGAGAGAGTTAAGACCTTGCCCTTGGCTGGGCGCAGTGGCTCACTCCTGTAATCCCAGCACTTTCGGAGGCCAAGATGGGAGGATCATCTGGGATCAGGGGTTCGAGACCAGCCTGGCCAAGTCTCTACATAAAATACAAAAATTAGCTGGGTGTGGTGGCACATGCCTGGAATCTCAGCCACTCAGGAGGCTGAGGTAGGACACTTGCTTGAACCTAGGAGGTGGAGGGTGCAGTGAGAGGAGATCGTGCCGCTGCACTCAAGCCTGGGTGACAGAGTGAGACTCTGTCTCAAAATTTAAAAAAAAAAAAAAAAAAGCCTTGCCCTGGAGGGCTTAACTGGGGGCAGATCCCTTGCTTGGGGAGTGAGAGGAGGGCACAGTTATACCCTGGGAGGAGAGTGAGGGGGAAGACAGGGCCCTGTATGCTGTGTCAGAACTCCAGACTGAGGTGGAGACAGTATGTGCAGGGACACACACACACACTCTTACACAGACTCACATACACACCTGCACACACAACCACACGAACACATGCTTATGCACACACGTGCAATCACGTGCACACACAAGCACACAGACTCACATACACACCTGCACACACTTCCAATCACATGCATACAGGCACACACTCATGCATGCACATGCAGTAACATCCTCACACAAGCACACACACAGACTCACATACACACCTGCACACACTTCCAATCACATGCACACAGGCACACACTCATGCACATATGTACACACATGCACCCACGCAGTCTTGCACATGCATACATACACACAGTTGCACACTCACATACACACACACACACACACTTATGCACAGGCACATAGCACATAGCACACACTTGCATATACATACACACATGCACACCCACACACTCTGACAATCACACGTGCACACACACTCCACATATGCACACACTTGTTACACTTACACATGCACACTGCTCACACACATGCACACACATCTATTCATACAACACATACACACACTCACCTGCACACCTACACACAGTCACATGCACACATGCACAATTACGCTCACACAGACCCTACACATGCACGCACACACACACACACACACACACACACACACACACACACACACTGAAGGCGACCCTGAGCAGAGTATGGTGTGGGAGTAGGGTGGTGGGAGGCGAGGGGCAGGCTGGTGGCCGGAGCCTGGCTCTCCTCAGGTCCGTGTACCTCCACAACAACCAGCTGAGCAACGCTGGCCTGCCCCCTGACGCCTTCCGCGGCTCCGAGGCCGTCACCACCCTCAGCGTCTCCAACAACCGGCTCAGTTACCTGCCGCCCAGCCTGCCACCCTCACTTGAGCGGCTCCACCTGCAGGTAGCTCTGCTGTAGGTCCCACCCTGGGCCAGACTCCCTTCATCTCTTTCCAGGGGGACCCCTCCAGTTCCTAGTTTTCCATCCTTCCCAACTGCCCCTCAGAATTCCAGTGGTCGGAGTTAGCTTTCTTTGAATCACTTTATTGGAAATCACTTTGAGCTCAAGGCAAGCTCCCCGTCACTCCCTCACTCAAGAGCCTTCTGTGGCTTCCCGCTGCCCTCATCCCAGACTCAGGTCTCATTCTGTTCTCCCTTCTCCAGAACAATCTCATCTCCAAGGTGCCCCGAGGAGCCCTGAGCCGCCAGACTCAACTCCGCGAGCTCTACCTCCAGCACAACCAGCTGACCGACAGTGGCCTGGATGCCACCACCTTCAGGTACAGGATGGTAGGGGCAGAAGGGGCTGAGAATTTATAGTTGGGGATCCCAACCTTCAGTCCCCCTTCCCTGGATGGCTCCTAAGCCACGGCCTCATTTACTGAGTGTCTGCTGCTCACTGGGCTCGGCAGAGCACTGGGTGGGTGTCCCTGTTCCCCACAGCCCTGCACTGACATCGTAAGTCTCACATGCATTTCCATCTCGCCTCTACCCTGGTCACCCCCGTAGCTAACTCTCAGGCTGGAATCTGCCCTGAGCACCCCAAGTTTATCTCCTACCCAGCTCTCTCAATGCATCACTCCCAAGTTGAAATCTCCGGCTTAAATCTGTCTCAGGACCACTCCCCAACCTCCCCGCCAAAATCTGTCAGGCACCCCACTCCAAGTGCCCCACCTGACACTGACCCTCTCTCCTACCAGCAAGCTGCATAGCCTTGAATACCTGGATCTCTCCCATAACCAGCTGACCACCGTGCCCGCCGGCCTGCCCCGGACCCTGGCTATCCTGCACCTGGGCCGCAACCGCATCCGACAGGTGGAGGCAGCTCGGCTGCAAGGGGCGCGTGGTCTGCGCTATTTGTTGCTGCAGCACAACCAGCTGGGGAGCTCAGGGCTGCCCGCTGGGGCTCTGCGGCCGCTGCGGGGCCTGCACACGCTGCACCTCTATGGCAATGGGCTGGACCGCGTGCCTCTGGCCCTGCCCCGCCGCCTGCGTGCCCTGGTGCTGCCCCACAACCACGTGGCCACGCTGGGTGCCCGCGACCTGGCCGCCACACCGGGCCTGATGGAGCTTAACCTGGCCTATAACCGCCTGACCAGCGCCCGCGTGCACCACCGGGCCTTCCGCCGGCTGCGCACCCTGCGCAGCCTGGACCTGGCAGGGAATCAGCTAACCCGGCTCCCCATGGGCCTGCCCACTGGCCTGCACACCCTGCGGCTGCAGCGCAACCAGCTGCGGATGCTCGAGCCCGAACCTCTGACTGGCCTGGACCAACTGCAGGAGCTCAGCCTGGCGCACAACCGGCTCCGGGTTGGTGACATCGGGCCAGGCACCTGGCATGAGCTCCAAGCCCTCCAGGTCAGGCACAGGCTGGTTAGGCACACTATCCCCAGGGCCCCTCCATCCCCCTGCCTGCACTGCCACATCCCAAACATTCTAGTTAGCTGGTCAAGCAATCAGAACAAGAAAATGGTAAGAGTGGGTTAGAAGGTGATGAGGAGGCTGGGTGAGGTGGCTCATGCCTGTAATCTCAGTGCTTTGGGAAGCCAAGGCAGGAGAATCGCTTTAGGCTATGGGTTTGAGACCAGCCTGGCAACATAGCAAGACCCTATCTCTACCAAAAAAACCTAGCCAAGCGTGGTGTTGCATGCCTGTAGTCCCAGCTATTCAGGAGACTGAGGCGGGAGGATCGCTTGAGCCCAGAAGTTTGAGGCAGCAGTGAGCCATGATCAGGCCACTGCCCTTCAGACTGGGCAACACAGCAAGACCGTGTCTCTTGAAAAAAAAAAAAAAAGTGATGAGAGAGGTATGGTGCGATTGACTGAATCATTTAATCAAGTGGGGACCCGTCTGTCTGTGCCTTCCCGGGAAGGGCCTTAGTTTACCACTGCAGAGGGGAAGAATTTGGCAGTCATGTGGGGTGGGGGCAGATGGGACAGGCTGGTATGAAGGAGGCAGGAGACTTTCAAGGAGAGAGGTTGGGGGCTGGCTGAGCTGAGTGGCCCAGGCCTGCGGCTGCCACGACACCATCTATAACCCCCTGCCCAGATGCTGGACCTCAGCCACAACGAGCTGTCCTTTGTGCCCCCGGACCTGCCTGAGGCCCTGGAGGAGCTGCACCTTGAGGGCAATCGCATCGGCCACGTGGGCCCCGAGGCCTTCCTCAGCACGCCCCGCCTGCGTGCCCTCTTCCTCAGGTGCCCCGAGGGTGGCTGGAGGGGTGGAGGTGGGCAGGGGAGGGCCTGGGAGGGTCACGACCGCCTCTCTGTGCAGGGCCAACAGGCTTCACGTGACGAGCATCGCGGCCGAGGCCTTCCTGGGGCTCCCAAACCTGCGCGTGGTGGACACAGCAGGGAATCCGGAGCAGGTCCTGATCCAGCTGCCTCCCACCACCCCACGTGGGCCACGGGCAGGGGGTCCCTGATCCTGGAGAAGTCCAGCAGAGCAGCCCAGACTCCTGGGGCTCCGCTGGGCCGTGGACTGAAGAGACAACACCCACCGTGGGCCCTCTGTCTGGCTCTCCTGGGCCTCCAGGGCTGGGCCTGCTCTGCCTGGCACTGGCCAAGGCACTGAGGCACGCAGCTGGCATACTCCAGGCTCACAGACCACGCTGGCCTGGCAGGACACGCCCTACCCCAAACTCCCAACACGGATGGAGGCAGCAACAATAAAGCCAAACCCTTCCAGCGCTCGGCACGGACCAGGCACCCTTCGGGGGCTCTGTCCACAGACTCCTCCCCACGACCAGTCCAGCTGGGGAAACTGAGGCTCTGCGATGCTAAGTGGGTCATGACTGAATTTTGAGGTCCTAAGACACACACTGGGGTCACCAGACAGCACCCTGTGCGACCCAGCCACGTGTGATTGCAGGGACGCCCAAGGCCACCCACTGAAAAAACACTGGGTGACAGATACAGGGCCCCTCACGTGTATCCCCCACACAGCAAGCATGGGAATGAAATGCACCCTTCAAGCTGGATGTGTGGTGGTGCCCTTCTGTAATCCATTACTCAGGAGGCCGAGGCAGGAGGATTACGTGAGCCCAGGAGTCGGAGGCTTCAATGAGCTGATTGTGCCACTGCACTCCAGCCTGGGAGACAGAGGGAAACCCGGTCTCTAAAAAAAAAAAAAAAGCGCCTTTCACAAGCACACTGCCCCTCCCCAAACCTGCTCCCCTAACAGGCACCTCCCCATCTACCTCCAGGGGAAATGGGGGGTGGGTGGGGAGACCTAGCCTGGCCACCGAGGGTCCGAGCAACAAACAGACAGGACAGAGCTGGGCTGAGTGTGGCCCTGGCTATTTTATTCCATGTGCTGGCCCTAGGGACCCAGCTGGGCCAGGTCGACGCCCCTGGGGGGACAGTGGGGCTCGGCCAGCCTCAGCGGCTTCTTTGGGGTGCAGGAGTGCTTTGGGGTTAAGGCTGGGGAGGGACAGGAAGTAAAGTGCTTGCAGGGGCTCTCGGGGCTTGGTCCCAGCCACCCTCCCTGCTCCGGGGCGGGCCAGAGGCCGGACTCCCCTGGGCTGTGCAAACAGGACTCTCTGGGGCCCACCCAGGCCTGGGTGAGGGGAATACACTGGCTGGCAGGGATCGTTCCCCACACCCACAGCCACAGAGGCTCTGGCTGGGCTGGAGGCCCGGATGAGGGGCGAGTCCAGAACCGATTGTCCGCTGATTGTCTGCTTGTCTGGTCCGTGGCTGTGTCAGCTCTTCCCGGTGTCGGGGCCTGCTGCCCACTTTCTGGGGGCTGCCCGCCCCACGGGCTCCTCACCTGCGGAGCCGCTGCAGCTGGGAGAGAGGCCCCTGGGGTCACCGGGGTGGGCTACAACCACAGTGATCCCCCAACCACCCCGTCTCCTGAGCTGCTCACCTCACTCTCTACCAGATTCCGCCTGTAGAGTGCCTCCTTTGCAGCCTCCTGTGGGGGATGGGCATTCAGCAGGTAGTCCCTGCAGGTCCCGCCCTGCCTGCGCCCAGCGCCCACCCAGCCCGCGCCCAGCTCACCCTGCTGCCGTCATTGCCCAGGCGCCGGGCAGCCTCCGTGTAGAACTGCAGCTGCCGCTCCAGCTGGGCTGCGTATTCTGAGAATGGATGGTGGGGGGATGGGGGCTTCGGGTGGGGCCTCGCTGCTCCCAACCCTCCTGTACTGTGCCCATCCCCAAGCCCATCCCCCACCAGATGCCCATCTCCGAAGCCCTACCCCGTCGGATGCCCACGCCCCCCTGCTCCAGCTGTGCTCTCTGCCACTGGCTGCGTTGCATGATGTCCTGGTACTGCTGGGCCACTTCTGGGGGCACCGGCCGCCGCGCCTGCCTGAGGGCCAGGATCTGGAGGATACAGAGGGGCCTGTGAAGATCCCGCCAGGACTCCCCAGTCCTGCCCTATGGAGCCCAGCAGGACGGATACCCACCTTCCGCTCCAGACGCTCTTGGTCAAAGGCCAGCACACTGAGGCTATGCAGGGGCCGGGCTGATCTAAGGGGTGGAGGAAGGATAAGGGACTGCAGAGATTCCCGCCACCTAACTCTGTTAATTCAAAAGACACATTGGGCCAGGTAAGGTGGCTCACGCCTGTAATCCCAGCACTTTGGGAGGCAGAGGTGAGCGGATCATGAGGTCAGGAGTTCGAGACCAGCCTGGCCAATATGGTGAAACTCAGTCTCTACTAAAAATAGAAAAAAAACTAGCCGGGCGTGGTGGCATGCGCCTGTAGTCCCAGCTACTTGGGAAGCTGAGGCAGAAGAATTGCTTGAACCTGGGAGGTGGAGGTTGCAGTGAGCTGAGGTCGCACCACTGCACTCCAGCCTGGGCGACAGAGCAAGGTCCTGTCTCAAAAAAAAAAAGAAAAAAAGGTCGGGCGCAGTGGCTCATGCCTGTAATCCCAGTACTTTGGGAGGCCAAGGCAGGGAGATCACCTGAGATCGGGAGTTCGAGACCAGCCTGACCAACATGGAGAAACTCCCGTCTCTACTAAAAATAGAAAAATTAGCTGGGTGTGGTGGCGCATGCCTGTAATCCCATCTACTCAGGAAGCTGAGGCAGGAGAATCACTTGAACCCAGGAGGCGGAAATTGCTGTGAGTCAAGATTGCGCCATTGCACTCCAGCCTGGGCGCCAGAGCTAGACTCCGTCTCAAAAAAAAAAAAGATACTTTGGGCACTGGGGGTATGGTGGGAGATAGGCGATACCCACCCGGTGTTGCTGATCCCAAAACCTAGTGGGGATGATGGCTGCACACCCAGGAAACTATGATGCCTAGTGGTCAGGGAGGGCTTCCTGGAGGAGGTAACAGCCAAGCTGGGATCCAAAGAAGGAATCAGAGGTGGGCAGAGGAACAAGGGTAGGGGTGTTCAGGGCATTGGAACCCACGGAAGTCCAGAGGCCAGTGAAAACTATTCATGGCCATGAACCACAGGAGGGAGTGGGGAGAGAGAAGCCTGGATATATTGACAACGGTCAGATCACAAAAGGTTTTAAAGACCAAACAAAGGAGTTTAATCTGGATCCTCTGGGAAAAGGGGTGCCAGGAAAGGTTTTGCAGCAGGAGAGGGACATGGTCCAATTTGTGCCTGGTGGGAAACTGTCCAGGTGGGGCTGAGAGGGGAATTGGGTGTTTTCTCTAGCATGCCCTGGCCCAGATACCTACCTGTTACCTGACTCCCTTGCAGGGGCAGGCACAGGAGGTGCCTTCCCTTTGGGCCCAGCAACCTGCTTCAGAGGAGAGAACCAGTCCTGTGAGTCCTGGGCCCCTGAACCAAGCTTCCCTCCCTGGGATTGCTGATGGGTAGGGGTGGGGGGGTCTCACTGTGGGCACAGCTGCTGGCACAGGGTCAATGACCAGCCACCTCTCCGTCGTCGTCTCCAACTGCTGGGCTGTCAGTGGCTCCCGAATCCGAACTATCACCTCCAGTCGCCCCCCTGTGGGCCGGCGACCATCCAGGACCTGGATAGGGGTAAGGAGAAACTGTTGGTGGGAAGCAGGAAGTGACTAAAGGCCCAGGGCCAGGACCAGGAAGAACAAGAGTGGCTTCTAAAATATAAGCCCATGGTATGGCTGAAATACCAGTTGATCATAATGGAGTGGGGTGCTGCAAGTATTTAGGGCTGGGCAGTAGGGAGGTCTGGGGCTCTGAGGGGAGGGGTTGGGTCAACAGACAGGCTCATAGGGGGCTCAAGGCAGGAACTGTCTTAATAATGTTAATGAGTAGCATGGCCAAACCGGAGCATGCAGATGAATGTCCACCTCTCACCTCAAGGATCTCCCGGACCTCACATGCTGTCTCCAGTGCATCCAGCTTCAGCTGGGCTGTCCCCAGCACCCGGTCAGTCTTGAACAGCCCCCTGTGTGTACGTGTGTATAGTGGGGACAGGATGGTTGGTTCAGAGGAGCTCCCCTCCCCTGGAGCCCACCCAGCGGCCATGGCTCCCTCTAGCTCACCCTTTGTGAACCACTTCGAACTTGATGCCCTTGGTCTGGATGGCCCTTCGGAAGCCACGGTGGCTGCGGTTGATGCAGAGTTTGAACTGCTCCTTGAACTCTGCAGGGGGAAGGAGGGAGAGGAAGTTGGGTGGGGTCAGGCCATGGTCTTACATCCCTTCTGCTGCAAGGGAGTAGGGGTGGGGTGCTTCCAGCTGAGGCTCACCAGGGGAATCTGTGCTCTTGATCACACTGGTCTTGTCTTTCTGAGCTTCTTCCTATGACCAGAGAGGAGGCAGGAAATCTCAGGGGCCTGGGACCTGGCTTTGGCCCACTGAGTCTGCAGCCCTCCCCTCCTCAGCTCCCCACATACCACGTTGGGATAGGGGAAGTCAAACCGAACAAAGACATCCAGATCGCCAGGGGACAGTCCTGTGGGCAAACAAGGGTCAGAGCTGGGCAGAGAGGGGGTCCCCATGACCCTGACCCCTGCCTACAGCCCCCTCACCTGCGGGTGTGGGCAAGTTGATGCCCTTCACAATGAAGAGGAGCATGTCATTGCTGCTGAGGTCAGGGAAGATCCTTCCGGGTGGGCAGGTGGGCAGGCGGGTGGGCAGGGAAACAGAGGTACCTCAGTCCCACTGCCCACCTGCCTTTTCTTCCTCCAGTGGGGGCTGGGAACAAACCCGACCCTGGCTTTTGGGGGTGTCTCAGCTCCTGGGCTAATTTTAGAATCAGACAGACTAGAGTTCTCTGTTCAGGTCGGCAATGGATCACTTTTGAGTCTTTTCTTCAGTCCGCGTATATCTATTTGGTACCTACTGTGTGCTAGGTACCCTAGCTGCTGGGTGATATTCCCTTCACTTAATAGTTCTTGAGTCCTACTAAGCATCAGCCAGTGCCCTAGCTGCTAGGAGATCGTCCCTTCATTTCCCAATATTTCTTGAGCACCTACTATGTGCCAGCCAGTACCCTAGCTGCTGGGGATCTAGAATTAAACAAGAAATACCCATACCCTGTGTTCAATCTAGCTGAGTGGACAGATGAGCACAAGTACATAAATAGAGAAACAACAGAAAACTCAGCAGAGAGGGGAGAGTGGAGTGTGCTCAGAAAAGACTGCTTGGATAGGGAGGGAGGGCCTCTCAGAGGGAAGGTGACATCACAGATGACTCTAGATGTCAACAGGGAGCTGCCACATGGAGACCTGGGGAAGAGGGTAAAGGCAGAAGAAACAGCTGATGCAGAGGCTTGGGGTAGGAACATACTTGGTTTGTAGGAGGGACAAAAAGTCCCCTGTGGCCAGAGCTGAGTGAAGCAGGGACAGGAGGCAGAGAGGAGGTGACAGGGAGCCAGGCTGTGTGGAGACTGGGGAGCCAGGGTAAGGGGTGTGGGTTATCCCAGGGGCAGGTGGGAACCACTGGAGGGCCAGTGGCTGCACCTAACCTCATTTAGAAAGTGGAGAAAATGGGCTGGGTGCAGTGGCTCACGCCTGTAATCCCAGCACTTTGGGAGGCCAAGGAAGGTAGATCATTTGAGGAAACCTGCTTGGCTAACT